AATTGCAAGCAGATGAAAGTTAGCTTCATGAGGAATTCCAAGTGGAACTGAAATAATAAATTACAAATTTCATCATTTTTTATAGAATTTAGACCCTATTGAAATTATTAGATTTTCACCATCTCTTTCCTTAATTAGGTACCTATTCTAAATAATTTCCACAGAAAAGTTGATTTGTTAAAAAAATATCCTTAGGATCAACCTTTTCTACCGGTGAAGCTGAACTTTATTGGATGTAGGAAGAAGAAATTGATGAATCTCTCTTAATATCTGATATTTTACTTCTGTCTAAATTATATACTAGTGTCTGGATCTCTCAAGTGGAGTCTAAGGAATGTGATGCTGGGTTCAGTTCTGGGAGCAGCAGTCTGTTTCCGTCTTGGTAATTATTTCACACATTATATACCTTGAATTTTTATATTTTGGAGAGTTTTGAGAAGTGAATTAGCACTGATCCTAGTTTCTAATTGGAACTCTTTTCGAAATTTGGAAGTCTCCAATAAAATCTCAACTAATTGCTGTTTTTGGGATCTTAATCTAAAATGGACTTGATTTCTGCAAAATATTCCTTGAAACATCTTTTGCCATGTTGAAATAATTGCCAGATTAAACGTTTCTGTATATTATGAGTGAAAGGGTAGTTAATCTATGGTGAAATGTGTGAAAGATTTAATTGAGAATGTCTTAACATGTTACATGAAATTTGTGTTTTATGACAGGCTGGATCCACTGGAAACTTGTGGAGAAAGCGAATGAAGGGAATATTGCTGCTCATTCAGGTCAAAGTGGAGAAGTGAAGAGCGGTGTGAGTGCAGCCATTGACAGGCTTGAAGAAAACTTGAACAAATAGAGAATTTCTTTTTGGCACAGGTCTCCATCAGTTTTGCATCAAGAGACACAAGATTAAGAGCAGAAATTGGGCGAGCAAAAACAATTCCAAATCTCAAATGTCCTGTGGCAAGCTGTCAATGAAAGTAGGATATTTGTTTGCCTCGCTCCCTGGCCTTTCAACTAATATCGTTTTTTTCCTTAAAATGTTGTATTGTGTGTTGGTATGACTATCCTGCAACTTTAATGGCAATGAGGTTTTAAACCCAATCTGTCTTGCGCAGATGGTATCTGCTATAGTTTTTTATATGTACTTCAAAATGCAGAACCGTAGGGCTGGTCATAAAATCTGTTCTAAACTCGTCTGCGTAAAGACTTAAATATGCTCTAAACCAGAGACTGAGTTTAATTCTTATTAAAAAAATATATATATACGTATAATTTGTTGGTTACTTAGTTGTAATTTAATTTGATTATACTGTTATATTAAAATAGATATAATTATATTTATATTAAAAAAATTAAAGTATATAAAATTCATATAATCCATATAAAATTCATCTATTCCATTTTGCTGTTGCTGCTGCAACGGTGGAAAAAGACTCTGGCATTTTTGACATTGCGCACGTTAAGAGTGGGAATAGATGAAATTTACAGTAAATTTTCTAATTTCTTAAATGATAAATTATCATTTTAATTATTGAATTAGTATGTTACAATTCAGTTTTAATTTTTTTTTCTTCTTATAATAATTTAATCCATAAATTTATAAAATTATCTCGGTTCTTAATATTTTCATAGGACAAAATTTTTTTTCTTTTTCTAAAGAAAATAAAATTTGAAAACTATAACAATTGAAGTTGACTTGTATAAAAATAATTACAATATATATAATAATAACTTATATTAGTGAATAGAAAAACCTGTAATACCTATTTTTCTTTAAATTCTCAACCTGGCATACCAAACATTGTATTTTCATTTTATTTAAATAGTACAAAAAATATTTTACTATTTCTGCTAAAGAATAGCAAAATATTATCTTTAAAATAATTTTATAAATTTAAAATTAAATTATAACAAAAATCAGAATTAAAATACTAAAAATATTATTAGAATTAACTATTAGATCACCAATAATATTAATTATTACTTTTATATACACTCTTATTCCCTTATACTAAAATTCTATTTGATTATTATTTCTTTTTTCTAAATAAAAAATTAATATATTAAAGTCTTGAGAACCTCTCTTGTGGATCGATTTTCCTTTTAACGTATTTTACTTTTGTTTTTATATTTATTTGACAGAAAATAAAAAATTATTTTAATTTCTATCAATTTTCTTCAATTTCATGGTTCACCTCTTATTTTATCAAACAAAACCATAATAAAACAAAATAATTAAGAGGAATGAAAAAATAAGCTGGGGGATATAAACCCTACTTGATTCTTTTCATGTCCACACCAATCCTGATACTAAACAAAGCTCCCCTGAATCTAATCCTCTTTTTGCACAGACTTTCTTAAACTCCAACACAACCTACATCTTTCTTCCTATTCAAAACTCTTTCTTTCCTCCTCGTCTCTCCATATTTGCAACCTTTATGTCGGAAATGTATTGTTGTGTATGTTGAAATTCGCAAAAAGAAGAAAAAAAAAAAAAAATCATTCCTCTTCCTTGCCTGCAGTTTTGCAAAGGGTATGATGTGATGACGTGATCGATGATTCTAGCCAAAATTATGCATTAGCAGTAAATTCTGATTTTGTATTGTGTTGATCTGTTTCTTCTTCTCCATCCTTTTTGCTGTTCCAGCTGTTGCATGCATTACCGAAGTTAAGTGGTTGATACAAATAGAATACGTGAAAACATTAAGCTGTGTAACTGGACAAGAAGATACTGAGAGCAGAACAGTGTGCATGATAAGAATGAGATGGTAGTAAGTTTACCCTTAAATTTCCTTTTCTTGTTGGCTCTCCTCCTCTTTCTCTCTGCTTTTGTCAGCTCAACTTCTTCTTTAACATCACCTTTGCCAGCAAACACTTCCTCAGGAGCAAGCATAGCTGCATCTGAGACTGCCAAGGGTGCAATCTGCCCATAAAAGGCGGCATGCAGTTATTGAATTGTAAAAAGGACCAAGAAAGAAAATAAAAAAGCTCTCTACCTCTTCCACGGCAAGGGCAGGAACATTTGCTTGTATAGACATGTCCTCAATAATCTATCAAGATCCAGAAATCAGAATTCAATACCAGAATTCTCAAAATTGACAAATGTACACTACCATAGTGATTTAAGAGCATACAGGTTTTGGAGTGAAGTGAAAACGAGAAAGAGCATCCAACTTCAAGCAGAGTCTCTTGAATAACATGCTTGCCTGGAAGAAAACATAAATCATCAGCTCAAATATCAAACATGGCATTAGTAAGTAACAGACAATGAAATCGACGGTAACACATTAAAGGATAGGGTAAGGAAACTTTTACCTCTTTCTTTTGTTCATCTGAGAAAGATGATGGAGCAAAATCTGGATTAGCCTTCTGGACATATTCTTCCTGCCAATAATCAATGTGAAAAAACTCAGTTGCTTTAAAGTTAGAGAGCGGTTATATCATCACATAAAAAACCATTCCTGATGACCAGAAATAGACGTTTATTTACTTGAACATAAAAGGACGAGCAAGGAAAAAAGAAAGGTGGGTGCAATAAGTTAAAAAGCCACAAACCTCATAAACTTCACCAAGACCCTTCTTGCTCTTATTCTCATCCTGGAAATTTCAATCAAAAAGCTATATAAGCAAATAGTTGATGATCCTAGAAAAAGCCCATCTAACAATTAAACCCCAGAACTAGCCACTTTAAATGAATTGTTCATACCAACTCTTTCAGTTCTCTTGGTGCTTTAGAAGGTAAACTTGGAGCTCTTTGAACATCATCAAATTTGGCCTGTAACAGACCTCACATTCTTAGTAGTTGAAATAAGATATATCCAAAAACGGAGTTACTTTTGGGGGGAAGGTGGGGGCCGGGGGGAGAGGAGGGGAAGAAGAAGATAGTTTCACCTCAAGGATTCTATTCTTAATCATATCTTCAAGTGATGCAGTAACCTCCTCTGTGATCACAGGAGCAGGCCTCACATTGTGTTCAAAATCTAAATCCACTTCTAATGCACTGTTCTTAGGCCTTTGTGCAGCAGTTACCTGTTATGAGAACCACAGCATATGATATCCTTCAACCATCTTCTCCCTTATTTGATTTAAGATATTTGCCTACATATCAATCCCATGAGGAAGTTTCCTTCAGACAGAAACTCCAGAGAAAAAAATTAAACTTGCCTCTCCTTGCATGGTCCAATCTTTTGGCTCTAAATTAGCTTTCTCCATCTGCTCTATCTTAGATTTAAGGTTCTCAAGTTCTTTTTCATGCGTCGAAAGACCATTCTTTCCCTGCAAAAGAAAAGAACGGGTTATCTCAATCATGTTGCTACAAATAAGAGGTTACAATTATTATAAAGAGCACATTTTTTATACAACTAAAAATTAGTAAACATGCAGACAAGGAAGTACTTGATCTTGAACTACCTTTTCATCATCTTTTTCATCCTCTAAGTCATCTTCTGATCCATTAACCAACTTGGGCTTTCTTATTGAAACTTTCTTTCCACCACCAAAGAAGTCTTCATATCTGATACTCACAAAAGTAGACCATAAATTGAATTAATTGTCATTTTGGAAAAAGTAAAAAAGCACCAACTATATGGTCAGACCTAATGGTCCACGTGGCACATCAAAGAATTATCAATCTAGTCCAACAGACAAACGTTGAGCGACAATCCAGTTGGTTACCTCCTTATCTCTCACATAGAGATTGAGAGTTCAAACATACTGGTCGCACCCAGCTTGCCATAAAAAAAAAAAAAGAAAAAAACTACTCCAAGAGACATGATTTATGTGAAAAATGCTGAAATAAAACCATAACTACCATGTCATACCAGTCATATTCTCATTAACAGCTTATTCAAATTCTAGCTACCCTCTGAAAGTAATTTCAATAGGCAGAAAACACACACTATCTTTTATATTTATTTCAGAGTTATAGCATAAGATAAACATCTGCAACACTATTCCAGAAGGAAGATATGCATTAGCATAATGTTAAAGGCATTGATGCTAAGAGTGGCAAAGTGATAAGAGAGGGTTAACAGAGAGACTGATGACTATACTGGTGGACCAGGTCATGGTGCCCAAACACTAGAATATAAACAAATATGAAGGTAGAAAGAATGCTGCTTGCAGAAGAATTACTCTATAGCAACATTAAGGAAACAGCATTATTGTGTATATATTTAGAGTAGTTTCTTGATTCAAAAAGTAATGGATAGAATCTTGCAGCCAAATGTTTATACTAAAGGAACATTAAACAACTAGAAAAAAGGTATAAAGAAAGCCGCACCTTGCATTTTCCAGCTCATCTGCATTTTCACCTTTGTCGTCAGAAGCCTCAAACTGGAAGTTGAAGAAAAAGTTCAAATAAACAAGGGTAAAGAAGAGCAACAATGCTGATTTGTAAGAGAAACAAAACTAATAATGTAAATAAACCAATAATAGCAAAATGAATCAAATTTCTCTGAAAATGAACTTCACTCTCCAATGTCTTCAACCCAAACCACCAGAAAAGAAGCTATATTTTGTAGAAAATAAAGAGAAATACTCACCCCATCCTCTTCATCTTCATCCTCATCCTCTCCTTCCTCATCTTCCTCTTCGTCATCATAAAAGATCTTTCTCTGCCCTTTCCCATTCTCTTTCTTACTCTTAGTTAACCCCATTTCCCTAGCCTCACCATCCTCCAAATATTCCTCCAAGTCATTTATCTTAAAAAACTTATCCTCTATCCCGTCTCCATTTCCCTTCTCCTCATCTTCATCCTCATCCTCTCGGTTTTCTTCACTTTGTCCTTCCTCTTTGTCTCCCTTCTCACCTCCACCACCATCCTCCCCTTCCTCCTCCTCTGAATCACTGAACCCATCAGCATCCATGTCCATATCATCATCTTCTTCATCAAATTCTTTACTTTCTTTCCCTTCTAGAACCTTCTTGAGCTTCAATAGTTCCTCTGGATTCTTCTCAAACTTCTTCACTTCCCGGCGGAGGCTAGAAAGCAGAGGTTGTGACTGGAGGTCAATTTGCTGCCATATCTGCTCTGCATCAAAACCATCAACCAAGAGCTGATCAAAGGGCGATTTGGGGCTAAACGGCTTCAAGTAGGAAAATAGTTGTTGCGAGGCGATTCGAGTCGCCTGGGAGAGCTCTGGGCTAGGTGCAAGCCAAACTGGCAGCTCTGTCGACTTTAGTCGATGTAAAGCTTCAGAGGCTGTTTTTTTAGTAGAGTTTATCTCCAATGGAGTCGCCATCTGTAGCATAAACGACTCAATTCATTCATTTGCAACAAAAAAAGTCATTTGAAAATAAAAATATAGTGACCAATTAATATATAGCTCGCAAACAAAACTGAGCATAAAACCATGAAATCTCTACTAATTCATGTCTTGGCGGGTTAGGATGCTCAAAAGACAAGACGAAATTAGGCCAAAAGAAGTCAAAGGCACTTGCCCTGGACTGTGAAAATTGGTCACAAAATTACACATCATCCAAAAGAGTTTCATGCCTCACAAAATTACACACCATCTAATCGAAGTCAAAATGTTTCACCCATAGTAGCTTCCATCACAACATTGCCTACATTAACTAGACAAAATCAAATAAAAAAAAAAAAAGATCAGAGAATACTAATGGAAATTTCATCAAGAAACAACAAGTTTTACTTGTTTTTTCAAGGTGCAAGATCATTATTCATGACACTCAATCACACGAATCAAACACAAGCAAGCTCATTCTTGTAAATTCTTTCAATTAAGCACTATATTAAACAAATTCAACCTCAAAATTACCTGAATAAAAACTGAAGTCGGAGGCAAACCCAGAAGCTTTTCCTTTTTCTTTCCAGCGTATCTGGTTCTCCTCTGCTGCTGTGTGGCCCTCTTAATCTTAGCCTCTTTTTATCTTGTTTCGGTCTAATTTCCCTGTTATTCTCTCTTTCTCGGTCTCACTCTTTCGTTTTTCTATTTGTTTATCCTTCACGCTTAAATTGTTTTCTATCTGTACCTTTTTCCTTTTTTTTTTTTTTCCGCTCCCTTCTACTTCACTCTATTCGTCCCTGTTTCACTCTCAGCCTCTCAACTCTCTCCTTGTTTCCTTCTTCTTCTTCTCGCTAGGTTTCTACTCACTCTCTTTCCTCTTCCTATCTCCCAAAATCGCCTTCAAAAGTAAACCAAAGCTTCTGTTTTCACTCCCTTTCTTTACAAACTTCCCTCTGAGCTCACTCCCTCTCTTTCTCACTGATTTCGTCTGAAAATCTTCTCCGAAGTAAACCGAAACTTCTGCTTTAACTCCACCGTTCTTCACAAGCTTCTCTTTTGCCCTTTAAACCCTAGCCCGTTCCTCTTATGTTTGAAAACCCGAGGAAGAAAACATAAAAGAAGGTCCTTCAACGGCGCCGTTTTAGGGGTGGGAAAAGGCTAGGTTTTGAGCCGGGTTTTGACTTTCTAGGCTTGGGTGTCTTAAATGGGGTTTTTTAATTTGGAAAGAGAATTTAATTGAAATAAAAATAAAATGGCTTGAAAAATAGTGCAAGCACAAAAAGGAAATTGAGATTAAGTTTTGAAAATGGAATATGAGTTCTAAATACAAAATGGGTCATACCTAATAATAATAATAATAATATAATAATAATTTTATTTTTTTCAAAATTCAATAAAAATTAAACTATATAAAATTAAGGTATCATAAAATTACACGATTGTTTGGTAAGAGAAGTTGCATCATATCAATATAACTAACAAAAGATTCATTATTCACTAGCAAAATGAAAGAAAATCAAATACGTTAAATGCTCCAACACGCATATGCACACTCCTTAAGTTAACATACTTAGTGAATTATGTCTAAACTGAAATATTTTTCACTCTTTGCATAGATTTCACTTTTATACAAATAAATCATACAAGTATATAATGAAAATATTACAATTTAAACATGTTAAGAAACAAAAATATCAATGAAAAAAATACTGTCAAATCTTTTTTAGTCTTACAACTAAGGAAATAAACACATTAACATTTCTCTTAGAAAATTATATATATATACATATCATTTAGTCACTTATTCATGGTAGAAACAACTAAGAGTGTGCATACATGAACATAAAAGAATTTAATTGTTAAACAGAACTCAAATCTTAATCATGTTATAATTTAGTTGTTAAACCGAAACCTACTCTTCTTCTCTTTCTTTCTCAAACAATAACGGCCGAGAATGAACACCTTAGAAGTCTCTCCCTTGTTCGCGTCGGCCAACCAGCCGAAAAAAGCTACCTCTCAGAAGCTCTGCTCAGGTTCTTCTTTAATACGTGCGAGGTCAAGATGGAAACCTGCAGTTCTCTTATTCTCCATATGGATTCTGATCTAGAAAAAGAGAAGCGGAAGAAGAAGAGGTCAAAGAAGAAAATATTACTACAACAACACGATTACAAAGCTCGGCAACATGAGTATAGGATGAAAATAATACAATTTAAACATAGATTATGAAAAAAAATATCAATAAAAAAATATTGTTAAATCTTTTTTACTTTACAACTAAGAAAACATATTAACATTTCTCTTAGTTAGCTTAATGAGAAAAAAAATATATCATTTAGTCATTTATTCATGATAGAAACAACCAAAAGTGTCTATAAATGAACATAAAATAATTTAGTTTATAGTTATATTGACACACCCGTTAAACAGAACTCAAGTGTTAATCATGTTCTAATCGATTCTTTCACATTCTCTAAGGTAACATGCTTAGTGAATTATGTCTAAATTGAAATAATTTTCACACTTTGCAAAAATTTCACTTTTATATAAATAAGTTAGATGAGTATATAATGAAAATATTACAATTTAAACATGTATTAGGAAAAAAATTATCAATTAAAAGATATTATCAAATCTTTTATAGCCTTAGGAAATAAGTATATTAACATTTCTCTTAGCTAGCTCAATTGAAAAAAAAAAAAAACAGAACTCAAATCTTAATCATGTAATAATTGATTCTTTCCTAATGAAGAACGTTTATTTTACATGGGATTGATAACTAAACTCAAAAATTTAAAAGGTATCTAACAAGAAAATAAACATAAAATATATATTAGTTTATTTTTTTTTAACAAAAGAGGCATGAAATGTCATAAATAATAATAACAATAACAATAATTATTATATAATAACTTTATTTTTTCAAACTTTAGCAAAAATTAACCCAATTAAAATTAGATTATTACAAACCTGAATGATGATTGTTTCTTCTCTTTCTATAAAAAAGAAATATATAGCAAGAATAACTATATATGGTAACTAACTAATAATCACAAGTAAAAGGAAATGGAACAAAGATGTTAAATGCCCCACAACTCATATACACAATTCCTAGGTAACATACTTTGTGAATTAAACATGAATTTAAAAATTGATGTGTATCCGAATCATAGGAGCTAGTAATCGCCGATATGCTCATATTGGTGACGTTATTGTTGCTGTGATCAAGGAAGCAGTACCAAATACGCCTCTAGAAAGATCCGAAGTGATCAGAGCCGTAATTGTACGTACTTGTAAAGAACTCAAACGTAACAATGGGAATCTTCCCACTTCACTAAAATTTTCCTTTTACACAAAGAAGTCATATGATTAAGAAAGAAAAATGTTTTGATATAGGCATGCATTGGTAAAATAATGATAAACTGAATGTACTATTAAATCTTGTATGGTCTTAAAACTAATGAGATACTTATACTAACATTCCTCAACTAGCTCAATCGAAAGAATTTATTGTTTAGTGAATTATTTATGATAGAGGTAGCTAGAGTTTAAATAAATGAACATAATGGAACCTACTTTCATAGTTGTATTAGCACTGCCCTTAAATGAAACTCAAGTCCTAGTCATTTCATAATTGATTCTTTACTGTCCATGAATATCTACTTTACATAGGGCTCATAGCTAAGTTATATTTCAAAGGTTTCGAGTAAGAAAACATACATAAAACAAAACTTCGTAAAAATTATTCAAAAAGAAATCATCCCCATTATTCCAAAGTCAAAATTTCAAAATACTATCAAAGATTTCCACTGAGTCATGGACCTTTGATTTAGCACATTCCTAAGACTAACATGATTTCAAAATAAAGACCCATTTAGTGAACAATCAAAACATATATAAACAATTAGATTTTAACTCATTAATTGTTAACTAGATCGTGTTTAAAAGATTAGAAACGTTTAAAGCATACTTAACAATCCCCACTCCTCAACATTATAAACCAACCATTCATAATAACTAAGCATACAAAAAAAAAAATATTCAAAGTAGGTATAAGTAACAAATTAAATATTGTTTAGGATGTGGAAGTCTTTGAGAAGGTTTAGTAGACTGATAAATGTGGCTCTAAATAAAACTAACAAGAAGTAAATGGATTATCATGGTTCATTATAAACTTAGAATTCAAATCACCTAAAAAAATTATTATCATTAAGTTTTAACTCGTAAAACATTCTAAGCCAAACCACCTCTAATACCTTACTGTTTGATGGTTCCAAATTTTCAGGTCTTCCCACCCAAAAGAGGGTGGGATTCGGGCATACCTCTAAGACCCTTTTTTTTATTAGGTTGTCTCTCCCAAAATAGTTTGAGTCAAACCACCTCTAATTCCTTATTTTTTCTTGGATTCTATATTTTCAAGTCTTCCTATTCATAACAAAGGAGAAACTCTCTGTCTCACTAAAAAATAAATCCTAATTTCAGTTTTAGAATTCTCTCTTTATGGATTTCTCACTCTCATTTTTTGAACAATACCTAGAATCCTCTCATTCTCACTACCCCACCATTTTATAGCCATAATTATTCTTATTTACCTCCTTTTTAGTTTTATCATAGAAATCTCACCAAATAAGTGATAACTTATCCTAAGTAATACTCAATTTCTAAAGAAATCAATTTAAGCGGCAAGTCCCAAACGTCACGAACAAAAAAAAAACTATAATATTAGCATGATTAAACTTTGAACTTAATCACGACAATAAGCATTTCTAATATAAGGGCTTAATTAGTGTCCATGTAACCTTGAAATCATTATTAACAACCATCTTATATCAACAATATTGATAAAGGTAATAAATAAGAATTAAAGAAATAGATTACAAAATTTTAATCCCTAAATCATTATCACATTCGTCCATTTATAGTACGATATGGACATACTAATACCTTTATTCTCATTAATAAGAACATCTATAAATTGAAGTTGCCTGATAGTGAGATTGAGTTCTACCCTTATAGACCTATAATAACCAAAATTTGTTCCAAAAACTTGGATTCTTTTTAGGAGAGAATGAAAACTGATTGAATTGGTTAAACCGGTTAAAAACTAGTAAACTAGTTCCCTAATGGTTTGGTATTAGTTCCCAAATATAGGAATCAAAATCAATAAATTTTTTTGTCTATATATTATATACAAATATATAATAATAAAGACCTTTAACCTACCTTCAGCTCCCCCCCCCCCACCCCCCCTTCCTCTCTTCTACATCATTTACAAAAATAAATTCTCTCTTGTTCAACCTTGGTCATATCTCGTCGATCACTCCAAACTCGTAGGTTGCTTCAATATTGGCCTCGTAGGTGTGCCACTACAAAATAACTTCTTTTGTTCTTTCTTTTCCCATCTTCCTTCTTTTTCAGTGGTATAACAAGTGGTAAAGATAAGACTGTTCTTTTTTTCTCTTTAACATATTGCTTCTCTTTCTTTTCTTTTCTAGTTCCAATTTTAATTTTCTAGTAGAGCTAATGAGCCATTCAAAAATTTGAAGATGTGTTAAAGAGGAAGAGGAAGATGTTTGCGGTTTTTTATAGAAATGTTAAAGAGGATGAGTGTAACGACCCCGGAAAATATTAAAATGAAATGAGTATTTAAATATATCGAATGCGGAAGCGAGATCAAAATTTCAGTTAACATCCCTTACACGAAAAAACCAAACAAACGTACTTAAAATATAAAAGGTTAAACTAACTAAGAAAGAAAACTCGAAAATAAACTATGCGTATGACTACAGAGTCTCTAGGCATCCCCTTCGTCGTCCTCCTGCGGAACGGGCTCGGGAACCATGTCTTCCTGATCTGAAATGGTTAATTAAGGAGTGAGCTACACTAGCCCAGTAAGAACATCACGATATCTCACCGTCACGGAGATAAAGGTGGGTAGAAAACCACAAAAAGACCAATGGAGCATAATTTACAATAAACTCGTTTATTAACAACAAAACCTTTTATCAATAATAAAACTTTTACCATCCACTTACCTTGGTGGAATTTATGAAAACAATATGAGAAAAACAATAACATTATCATAATCATTGAATAATCTAAGCTGTGAAACATAACACTTATCACGCCTCTT